CCACAAAATTGCCAGAAAGATGCCACAAAATTACCAGAAAGTTGCCATCTGAGGGGCGGGGCCTAATAGGGAAATATAGCAAATTCTTCTTTAAAATCCTTCTTCTTCTGTAGAAATTAAAGAATTTGTTCCATATTTGGTCAGAAGCATCCTTGGTGGAAGGGGAAAAAAGTTTGTATAAATGGTTGGTATGCCCCCCCCCCCCCCCCCCCCCTGGGGGCTGAGGGGTGGGGCCCAATAGGGGAAATGTAGCAAATTCTTTAAAATCCTTCTTCTTCTGTAGGAATGGAAGGATTTGTTCCATATTTGGTCTGAAGCATCCTTGGGTAAAAGGGAACCAATTTTGTATACCCCGAGGATCAGTTTTGTTTAAACGGTGGGTGTGGCCCCCCTGGGACCTGAGGGGTGGGGCCAAATAGGGGAAATAGATGATAATCTTCAAAGTCCTTCTTCTTCGGTAGGAATGACAGGATTTTGTCCATACTTGGTCTGAAGCATTCTTGGGTGAAGGGAAACCATATTTGTATAAACGGTGTGTCTGACCCCCCTGTAGGCAGAGAAGCGGGGCCCAATAGGGAAAATAGAGGTAAAACCTGTTAAATCCTTCTTCTACCATAGGGATTAAGGGATTTTATCCTAATTTAGTCTAGAGCATCCTTGGGCCAAGGGGACTCAATTTTGTATTAGCAGTAGGTGTGGTCTCCGAGGGGGGCAGAAGGGCGGGGCCCAATAGGAGAAATAGAGGTAAAACCTTTAAAATCCTTCTCCGACCATCAGGATTAAGGGATTTTATCCTTATTTAGTGTTGTCAGCATCCTTGGGTGACGGTGACTCAATTTTGTATCATTGGTGGGTATGACCCCCTTAGGGGCATAGGGGTGGGGCTCTGTTTGAAGTTTGTTCTCTATATCTGAAGTACTGGATGGATCTTTCTGAAATTTTATATGTACTTACAGCACCTACCATGGAGTGCTATATCTTTACTTCATATCAATTACTTAAAATATATTCAGGTGAGCAATACAGGCCCTTTGAGCCTCTTGTTCAAGATAACACGTATACCGATACGTATCGTATCAATGCATTCCTACAGTATGATGGCGCGCTGTCCTTTAGCGATCCAAACCCAGCTAATCAAAACCAGTAGTGTACGAAAATTAGTTCCAGAAACAGAAACACAATGTGAAAGCTTCTTATTTATATCAAAATAATGTTATCTTTACACAAACAGTGAGATTAGTTTGTGCAACGTTTTCACACCGACTGGTGTCATTGTCAAGCTATGTCTAAGTGATGGTAAATTGTATAAGGTGAGCACTACTATAAGCTTCGGGCGAAATGGCTTACAGCTAATATTAAAAGGCAAAGCCTTAAAAGAGCATAGCTTTTGTTGATCTCTAATATTTACTGATTCAGAATACTGCTTTCAGAATGAGATAAGATAAACTTAAAATCAAGGAATAACAGTAAAACACAAGCTTTAATGAGATTAAGTTCAATATAACAATAGGGGAGACCGGGGCAAGTTCGGCCCATTTTATTAAAGTCCGTCCTGGGAAGTATGGCAGCACGTACGTTTTTCAACATTATTTGATTTTCCCTGTCGACAGATCGGATGGCCGAACGAGCCCCGCCATGGGATAAGAGTTCGGACAGACATTCGGACAAAATCCCTTAATCCCTACAGTAGAAGAAGGATTTTAAAGGTTTTTCCTCTATTTCCCCCTATTTGGTGGGGGGGGGGGCACCCACCATTTATACAAAATTAAGTCCCCTTGGCCTAAGGATGCTCCAGACCAATTTTAGTCAAAATAGACTTGGCCGTTCAGGACAAGTAGCGTTTTAAAGGAAAAGTTGACGGACGAACGATGGATGGTGTGATATAGGCATAAGCTCACCATATGGTCCTTCGGACGAGGTGAGTTAAACAAGAGGCCCAGAGGGCCTGTATCGCTCACCTGGATATCTAAGCAATCATGGCAAAATGTTTTCAAAATGAGATCCAAGAGAATATGCCAGACCCCAATGCCAATTCTTGAAGTATGTCTGTATTAGATTTTTCATGCCCAGCAAATTAATGTATGGTTAACTTATGGGGAGGGGATCTCAACTGTTTCCAAGCTGTGACTCCGAAACTAGATCCCTACGGTTGTGGCCAGACCCCAGGATCGATTCTAATATCCTGACTGCATTTGTCCTTTTTTGTCCAGCATTTGTATTCATAGTCTTGGGGGGTGGATCTCAACTGTTTCAAAGTTATGACCCAGGGGTTAAAGGGGCATCATGCTAAAGTAACTTTTTTTTTTGTCTTTTTTTCAAATACTACATAAACATATCAAGTGAGACTCATTATGGAAAATAACGATCGGATTTGGCTGAAATAGATTCATAAAAATTATTAAATCTAAGATAATCATCGGAATTTCTACCTGTCTGACCAACATTTTGTTCTGGGATTTCCCTCTACTAGTGCATGCATATAGCACACCATTTCTTTGTAAACAAAATGACTGGCCGTGTGAAGTAAGCGAAAGAAAAGTGTTGTACCGTGTCAGCTACGAAGCAAAAAGTTGCCAAATGGTCAAAAGATAGCGCAAGGGGTACGTTATGGAATCATTATTGCCAATGGGAAGTATTCAAAGCGGAAAATAACTGCCCTAGCAGTTAGTACGGTGCACGTATTCTTCCGGATAGCCGGTTAAGCTGAAATAAAATCAACAGAAATGCTAGCGCTGTTTATGATATGAATAAATATCTAAAACTATTAACCTCGCTAGTATCATTATGTGAGTTTGAACACAGATGAACTTAGTTTAATATGTATCGGAGAGAGTTTGCTTTGTGTTCTTATAATTATACAGTGGTTTATGCGAAAGGAAGGGATAAGTTGTTTTTTGCCATGAGGCCCTCCAAAGGATAACTGTTGTGATGGCAACAGCGTATTCTGTTCTCTGATCCTCTGACGGTACTCGGGTCAATTGAGATACGTACGCTATTAGATTTACATAATTAGTAATATTACCGGGATCAGTAAAATGGTATGATGTAATTATATTGCTGAATTAAACGGGTTTTTTTTGTTTTGACATGCAAGATTTAAATTAGTGTTAATATGAATACCCGGCCTCCTCTGGCGCGACGACGCAATATGTAAAAAAAAATCGCTCTTCGTCAGAAAGCTACGTTATCGCAGCTAGATTAAAAATGTCAAAATGACGGATCAGGATGAATAACTGAGGAAGGAGAATCAACCTACTTCTAATAAATAGGATCGCATAACATTTTTTATTTAAATCGTAAATTTTCAACAGTTCATGTTTTCATATGATGTTGACTTAGAATGTATGATCATGTAACAACTTTTTCTCTATAAAGAATAAATTTTCGACTTCAGATAGAATCGGAATAGGTATTGAAAACAGGGGGTAAATATTTGATTACGTTGTAAAAATGGCACGTGCTGCCGATAACTATGGTTTCTGTTTCGGACAAAAGGAACTGATTAAAGAAAAGTTGTCTCAACATGAAAAGGTTCATTTACAAGTATGCTTTAATCTCTGTAAAGTATTGAAAAAATACAATTATCAAGTATCTCAACACGTTCCTTATTGACACATATTCTACATGTACACGTAGTGGTTTTGCCATACAGTTTATTGTGTGTGATGGCTAATATGACTTACTAAGTGTTAGCGTGCTGTATGGAGACAGTGAAAGTGGGAAAGAGAGTATACATACATTTATATGCATGGTCTAAAACAAATATTGGCCAAAGACATTAAGTTGTTTAATGTAATAAATAAATTCACAAACATTTCCTTTTTTATTCGCGTGTAGTTTGTCATTGCATATATATGCACTTTATGTAAACATTTGAAAAGGGATATTCGTCACGTGAATATTCCTTTTTACAGAAAGGTTTGTCTCATTGTTGAGGAAAGGTGTTTAGCCCCGTACCGGTCACATTTCGGTACTAAATTCAATATATATTTATATATATCTACTTTATGTTTATGTCTATTATCATTGTTGACATTTAATTGTAAATGTATGAGGGGAGAAGGCTGTGATAAATTGTAAAAACTTGTGCCCCATCCCTTGTTTAATTTTATTGGCAACAAATTTTTGTTTAAAGCTAAATAAATTTGAATTCTGAATATTGGCAAGTGTGCAATTAACTTCTGATGATGAATAATTACTGTTCAATAAGTTTGAATACGGACTTAGAAATCATATTACTTGGTTTCATACTGCGGTAAGAAATTGCAGTTGCCTGACGGACCCTCTCCGTGGGCCCCTTTGAAAACCGTTTCATCTCGCTCACACCACTTGTGTTTACTACCTAGTCGGTGACGTTATCGGCGCTATTTTTAGCAGGGCTTTCCCGAACAATTCAAGTGGTCAAACTGGACATTTGGAACGGACTATGAATATGGGGATAGCGAGGTAACATAAGTGGAAGTGCATACAATACATACATTTATTAAAAAAAATATATGGCTCTTTCACGTGATATGTCCCTTTAAGTCTGCAAGGGTGGGGCAGACCCTGGGGTCAATTCTAATATCATGACGGCATTTGTCTCTTTATGCCTAACAATTGTATATATATACAGTCAAACCTTGTTATCTCGAACTCGTATTACTCGAAGACCCAGGTTAACTGGAAGTATTTCATGGGTCCCGGCCAAAACTCTTCTTAATCTTAGTAATAAAAACTCTGATAATTCGAACTCTGAAAACTTGAAAAACTCGGATATCCCGAAGTGAATCATAGTTCCCATCAACGTAATTCCTACATAAAAATATCTCCTACCTCGAAGTTTCTTAAGATTCACAAGTCTATCATATATTCTTTAATTATTTTATACATATTAGACGCAGTGCTACGGTAAACATTGTCGTGAATTCGGTGTGTGTTATTCACACACCGTCACAACAAGTAGTTGTAAATGCTCTCAGCTCCTGAAATCAAAGACAAGGTGGAGGAAATTCACTCACGTGTTGCTGGTTCGATATCAAGAAGTAAAAGAGACCGCGCCAACGCGTCACAGCGATGATATCACGTAGCTCACGAGATCTCGTGTCGGCGCGGTCCACGGTCCAAGGGAGATAACTCTCCCGAAATTCACCACACTCCTCCCCGTTTTATGAAGGCCCCTTCTGGGGCCTGGTTATGGCCAGGAAGAAGTCCATTGATCGGAAACCGCCTAGGTGTTGGCACTTGGCGTCGGCCAGACGGATGTCGGCCCTCCGGAGGTGGATTAATGAGGAGGTCAGAATCCCCCTTAAATGAACAGTGTTTTGCGAAGGTCAGATCCCCCCTTAAGTGAACAGTGTTTTGTGAAGGTCGGAACCCCTATTAAGTAGATAATACATTGTCGCCCTCTAGAATTGAGCGACAAGTTATTTAGTAACTCCTTAAGTAACAATATGTTAAGCACAGTCCTACTGTACCCATTTGGAGATGAGATTAGTGGTGGAGGCCAGTGTTTGATTTAGGCCTCAATAATCACAGCTTCTAGACTTGCTGGGCTTATCTCCCCAAGGAACACCACGGCTATGGATACAATCCACACGATAGGCACAGTCACCCCGTGCCTTGATAAGTATGAGAATAGTCTCCCCGTGACAGTGCCCAACATTAGCTACGGGGAACGTGGCAACACTGTTGGTCGATACGACAGTGTGTTCCCCTACAAATTGCATTGATGGACATGCTGCCTGTAGGCGGCCCCATTTAAGCTTTTATCCTACCAATTACTGGCGAAGGGAGCTGTCTTATCACAATAGGAACCTAGGTAGCCACCAAAATGTTCAGGGAAAGGATGCCCCCCCAATTTGTAAAAAGATGTAGGATGACTTGGTTTTAGAGGATAATAGGGAAGCTTAACCTCACCTGCCTGTGGATGCCACAGACAAGTCCAGGGGCTACTTTAGTGCCCCCCCACTTTGAGTTTGGAGTTAAGGAGGAGAGAATCCCACTCCCCTTACTACCACCGTACTTCTAACGTGCTGACGGGTTACTCGCACGGAGTGCGGGAGTAAGCTGGTGGGGAAGTGATCCCTCCCCACACTGCAGGTGTGCCATACAACTGGTGACGACAGTTGGTTAGCTATGCCCCTTACTCGAAAGAGTAGAACTCCCTGGCGTTGGCATTGAGCTGGCTCGCCAGGAGATACACGTTATCTCCCCTGAGCGGGGCCAACTCCTCCAGGGTATGCCTTAGGAGCCAGGGACTGTTGATTCCAACCCCGGCTCCTGTAGGCACCAGGTAGGGGGCTTCCGACTCTAGCAATAATCTGCTAGGGTCAATGCCCCCCAGGGCCAGTCTAGTGGAGGGGGCTCTAAGGGATAGAGCCGTCACCCCAATATGGAGGTTCGGCAGCAGCTGCCGCCAAGCCTCAATATCCTCCACGGACCCAGTGAAACAGTGCCAATGCACCGCCAGCGTGGAGGCCCCTGGCACCCTTTGGAAACATCCAAGGGCCTCCTGCGCTGCTCGGCCACTGCCCCCATCTTTGCAGTGGATAATCACTGGTCTGCCACCACCCTCAACCACAGCCCCTTGTAGGACAGTGGTCAAGGTGGTGACCTGATCCCTGGTGACCTGCTGCCGGCATTCTGCAGGTTTGGGGCACTGTCCCGCACAGCCACAATTGGAGGTCAGGTCGATGCCTACCTCCCCTATAGCTGTACAGGCCGGGTCCCGCAGCTGCTGCAGGAAGGCCATCAGGTGGCGTCCCCTCCCCACTTTATGAGATTGCAGGCCAATCGCCACCTTGACCCTAGGGTCACCTGCCACCTGGCCCTGACGCCTAGACCAGCTGTCGGGGTAGGCATAATTGGCCACCCCGCCCAGAAGGACTATGTCCCCACCCTCCTCCTGAGCTGCCAAGTCAGGAAAGGAGGTTGCCCTGCCTCTCGCTAACATAGCATCCAGGTGGAAGTGGCAGTCATAGACTGCCACCGGTGGGGG